CTTCCTTCCGAGGAGTGGCTGGTGGGTTTGAACCGCCAGCCGTCTGGTTAGCAGGCAAGTGTCTTAGCCACTATGCTACCAGAGCTCCCCCATAAAGACTTACCACCTCGGAAACCCAAAAGGGGTCGCTATGAGTTGGAATTGACTTGATGGTGGTGAATTATTATTATTATTTTTTGTGATCTTTACGGAAGCCGACTGCCGCATCTTTCTCCCACCAAGGGGCTGGTGGGTTTGAACTGCTGACTTTTTGCTTAGCAGCTGAATGCTTTAACCACTGCACCAGCAGAGCTCCTTATAGGATTTGCAGAGCTATAGTATTTTATAAAGAAAAGTGTGTGGAAGCCCTAGAGGGGCCACCATTACTAATGGGTATACAGTGGCCACCTTTGCAGGGCAAGATGGAGGGAGACTGAAGGGCCCCTCTCTTTTGAGCATTTCTAAGTTTTACAAGCTCTCTATACTGAGCCTGAATTATTTCTGTAATCAGGAAAAAATTATGTTAAAAATATGCACTACTGAATGTACCAAATGTGAGTGATCAACATGGTGGCACTGAGGAAGAGAAAGACATAGAGAGGTACATGGGAGGTACAGAAAACAAAGATGAGCCCTTTTGCACATACAGTACTGCGTTGTCAGTGAGGACAAACACAGGTATACGGGTAGACAGATGAGTGGACAGGCTGAACTATTAGGCATGTCTATGAAGTGGGGAGTGTACCCAAGACCATGTACAGGGTTGGCAGACAATGGTCCTATAAGTGTATTTGTATGTTCTGTAAGAATTTCCAAGTGTATAGTAGAGCTGACAAGGGACAAGGTTGTAGTCACTGCTTGGTCACAGCCAGCTACCCAGAGGGACTGAATAGTTGAACCTGTGGGCTTGGGACCATAGCCACAGGGCACATCAAGCTCAATTGGCATAACATACTACACAAAACATTGTTCCACCTCCTACTTTGGTGAGTAGCAACTGGGATCTTAAAAGCTTGCAAGCAGCCATGTAGATGCAATGATGGGTCTCTCCTTGTCCAGAGCAAAGAAGAATGAAGAAAACCAAAGATGTATGGAAACAATTAGTCCCAGCTACTGGTACACCATGCGATCTGCAGCCTACACAACTATTGAGACCAGAAGAACTAGATGGTGCCCCGCTACCACTGTCAACCACTTGGAAGGGGATCTATGTAGGAGATTCTGGATAGAGAGGGAGAACAACGTGGAACAAAACTCAAAATCATTTGGGGAAAAATAAAAGTGTGTGTGGGGGGACCAGGTTTGCTGGTCGGATAGAGCCTGGTGGAACCACTGAGACTGTCGCCCCTAGCTGCCCTTTAGGTGTGGGTTGAACCCACTCCTGTGGTTTCCAGCCAAACAAAAGACAGGCATAGGAGTTGAACATGTACCTGAGGTAGCTACACTCCTTGGAGAGACCAATCATGGGAGAAAGAAGGGCTGCTTATGCACAGGGAGACAGCTCAGGGGGCAGGAGTGCATGGAGGGATGGGCACGGGGAAGAGATGACTGTCCGGAGGAAGTGGGAGGGGAGCTGTTGCATTGTGGGAAACTGTCGTCAATGTCATGAGACACAGTGTATGTGAACTGCTGTATGGAAACTGAATCTGCTCTGTAAACTTTCACCCAAAACACAATTTAAAAAAAAAAAAAAAAATGCACTACTGTATATGACTTGCCACAAATGGAAGAGATGAGAGGAGCTGGGAAGTAGTTTTGGATATTTTTTAAATCGAGTTTCCTCCTCAACTGAAAGAAGGCAATAAATCAAAGCACTCAGGTATCAAACAGGAAGAGGGGAGGGCCGGGAGGGAGGGAGGGAGGAGAGAACTGACGGGGAAACAGAAACGTGTAGTTTCCTAGTTCACCCTGGACCAGCATCCATGCTAAAAGACTATCAGACACAGTAAGAGCTTTCCACTGGAGAGAACCACCTCCTGCCCCAGAAAACGATGTGTCTGAATGGTCCCTCCACAAGAAGCCCAGAGAACTCTTCAGCGCCAAGTCTGCCCCACTCCTCAAACCCCTTGTTGCTGTCCACTCCCGAGGCCTTTGCCTGGTCTCTCTGTGACACCACGAGTCACTGAAGTCACCCCTGTGCCTCAGCCCCACCTCTCCGAGGCCGGACAGACAGCCATGGGCAGCAGTGCGGCCAGCACAGGGGCAGGACATGCAGTCACGGCTCAGTCACTGTGTGGGTTGAACTGTGTCCCCCAAAATGCTACACTGAAGTCAACCCCAGTCCATGAGCAGGTGACCGTGTTTACTGCAGATGCACTTACTTGACATGAGGTCACACTGCAGCAGGGGCCCTAATGCAAGGAGTGGTGGTGTAAAAAGAGAGAAACTGACACAGAGACAGAGGGCAGAGGCCAGTGACAATGGAAGCAGAGGGAAGGGCGTGGCCACAGCCCGGGACCCCCTGGGCCACAGCAGCCGGGACAGACTAGGAAGGACCCTCCCCTCGAGCCCCACAGCCCGAGTCTGGACCCCTGCCCTCCAGGCTGAGACAAGAAGGGTGCAGGCTTTGTAGCTCGCTGTGTGTGGGACTTTGCCATGTGGCCCCGGCACGCTGAGGCAGGTGGGTGGGGCCGCCAGCACTGAGAGACTAGACGCATCTGGTTCGTGGGCCGGTGTGGGCCTTGTTTGTTACAGTGTCGGCGTTGTTACAGACGGTGTGGGCCTTGCTACTGCGGTGTGGGCTCTGACCCAGCAGCCCAGGCACAGCCGGCACTATGGACAGAGGCTGAACAAATGGGTGGGGCAGTACGTGTTCGTGGTGTGAGCTGAGCGTTCGCAGCAGCCGAACCCTGTACAGGCACTCTGACACGAAGGTCCAATTCCCTTCCCAGGGTTTTCTGTGGTTTCCCTTCTCTGTCTAGCACAGACAGCTGGTCCTCCGATGGGGCAGACGGTAGGTGGGGGTGGTGGGACCTGGGACCACTGGGGAAGGGGGTGTCTGGGGTGCCCTCAGGTGTGGGAGGTGGCGGCCCACCGCAGGGCCCATGGCCGCTGAGGGTGTGTGGCTGAGTCTAGCTTAAATCCTTCCTGCTGCAGCTGGGCCAGGCTCTCCTGGCCTCCAGGGCGGGGCCCACCCCGCGCCCCGCACCTCCCGCAGCGGCCCGTTGAGCTCGCCCAAGATGCTGTCCTCGTCGAACATCTTGCCCTGGTAGCGGTGCTCATAGTAGTCGTGGATCTTCTGACGGAAGTCGGCAGGCAGCTTGTGGAAGGACATGTACTGTTCCACCTGCTTGTACTGTAACCAGAGGGTGGGGAGGGGTCAGCGCCGCCACCCGCAGGAGACCCAGGCCCCAGGGGGCAATCGGGCCCCCAAGTTCACAACAGCAACAAAAACGGACACTGGGACATTAGCATTTTACATAACCACCAACAGGATTGAGTGTAGGTATACACCACGCAACATTAGGGATATACTTTTGCTAAAAGCATTACTCGCTGCTCTTCTGAAATGCAAACATAATTAGGGCTCCTGAATGTTATCTGACAGCCCTGGTAGCATAGTGCCTAAGGCACTTGACTGCTAACCAGAAGGCTGGCGGTTCAAACCCACCAGCCACTCCTCAGAAGGAAGATGGGGCAATCTACTTCTGTAGTGATACCGCCTCGGAAACCCAAGGAGGGGTCGTTATGAGTCGGGTCTGACTCGACGGCACATCACAACAACAACAACAACCCCTGAGAAATGGTGACCAGCTCGGCCCCAGACCCCTCACACGAGTCTGCACTGAAATCCCACTTCCCCCAAAATGCCAGACCCCCTCCCCAGACCCCTCTCTCTGCTGATTTTTCCAGAAACCGATGGTCAGGCCAGCCCCTCCCAGGCAGGGCAGGGGTGCAGCCATGGGTGCCAGGCCCTGCTGTCCCAGGATGGCGCCCGGGGTGCCCCAGCCCCACTTCCGGAGGGCCTGCCCAGCCCCCGCCCAGCTGCAGCTGCCCTGAGCTCAGCAGAACCCGTGATGGTGGGCGGGTGGCAGCACCAGCTTATGTTTCGCTGGGAGGCCCCGCGGCTTCCGGACAGCCAGGGCACTTGGCACTGGGCCCGGCTGACCCAGCCGGCCTGCTGCACTGCTGCGGGGCCTCCCAGCCTCCCAGCCAGGGCAGCCACAGAGTAGGGGTGCAGGATGATGAGAGGGCATCCAGGGGGACCGAGAAAGGTGGAACTGAGGCACAGAGTGGGGCTGAGCTAGCCTGGGGGGGCCAACAGCCCACTCCTGCTCAGCCCCTCCCAGCACCCAGGTGGCCCTTCCCTGGGCTAGCCCAGACCCCAAGGCCAGGTTGGGTGACTGGCCGCACCCTCCACAGAGGCTGAGGCCAGGCCTCTAAGACTCTGCGAGGCGCCTTGCCCACCCAGAGGCTCATCCCAAACAGCCCAGAGACCCACGTGGGCCTGACGCCATCCTGCCTCCTCCTCCCTGCATCTCCCACACCTCTTGCCCTGATCCGCACTTGGCTCTATCCCCCGAGAAACAGGCTGGCTCCTGGGCTGCCATCCCTCCTCTTGTCACAGCCACGGACGCTCTTCTCAGGCTCCCACACCTTCCCCTGCCTCCTCCCTGGGACTCCTGGGTGAGCCTCCCCCACAGACCTTCTCCTGGTACTGGCGCCGAGAGGAGTCCAGCGACTGGATGAGGGCGGTGGCATGGCCGATGAACATGGCGTAGCAGGTGGCGCCCACGATCATGCTCAGCATGGTCAGCCAGATGTCAGTCATGCTCTCGGGCGCCTGCCGGCCGTAGCCGATACACAGCATGTGGCTCATGGCCTTGAAGAGTGCGAAGGAGTAGAGCTCGCTCCAGGAGTGGTTCTGCAGGCATGGAGGGCAGGCGGTGGGTGCCCAGGCCCAGGCCCAGGGGGCCCTTGTCCTGCCCACAGGTGCCCGGGGGGTGAGCTCCCTGTGCCCAGAGGGAACCAAGAAGAGTCCGTGACGGGCCGGAACCAGGTCCTGTGCCCCAGCCACACGGCAGCTGTATCCAGAACCACTCTGCTGACAGGGAAACTGAGGGTCAGGGGGAGAACAGGACTTGCCCAGGTGTCATTGAGGAAGCAGTAGGATACAGGTCAAAAGCCAGCTTCCCCTCACTTGAGGGAAAATGGAGGCCCAGAGGGGAAGCCCCCACTCCTTTGTGACCAGAGAGTCTGTGGGGTCAGAGGAGGTGAAAGCTCCAGGAACCTTGGGGACAGACCCTCAGGGACATGGGGTCCGGTCACAGGGCCAGGACAGGGCGGGCAGAGGCACCAGGCAGCACCCAGGAGGCCGTGCCCCTCGAGTCCTCAGCTGACCCGGCTGTTCAGGAAATGGGGCCGCATGTGTGAGTGTTGGCCAGACAATGGGCCGCCTCAGCTGGGCAGCTGTGCCAGGCGCCGGGGGCGGGCACCCACCCACGGGTTTTCCCTCTGCGGCTCCTGCCCCCATCAGCACCCACCTGCTTGGTGCCCTGCCAAGAAACATCCCAACCCCCACATGTGGCCCTGGGGCCCTGCTCAGACACAGGGAGGGCCTGGCGGGGTGAAGGCAGCCTCCACGCAGGCGAGTCCTCCCTACCCCCACGCCTCTGCTAGGGCACCAGGCGCTGGGCCCCTTGCGGATTGTGTCTTAGGGCACTTGCCCCACTGAGGCCTCCATAGAAATGTTTCTTTTAAAGACATTTATGTAAACAAGAAAGAAGTGTCTGCTCAAAGGGAGCACTGAGTGGATCCTCTTCTGTGAGTGACAAAAACACACGAGAGCCCAGAGACTTCCGCAGGATCCCGTCTCAGGTCTGAAGACTCACTGCTGTGTGCTAGCCTTGATGGGCCAATCCCCAGAAGGACTAACAGGGGGCCCTCCGACAGGGGACAGTCCCCGGGGCACTCGCAGAGGAGCTCAGATATGGGACAGCCCCCGGGAGCGCTGGCGGGCGCACTCGAGGCGTCACCCGGAGTGGTATTGCCCGGCTTTGCCTGGCGCGGGCGCTCACCACCATGTTGTTGATGGAGACCCAGCAGTTGTGCGGGAAGTCCTGCAGCATGGGGACCAGGAACTGCAGGCAGCCGTCCCAGTGGCACAGCAGCAGCATCATGCTGATGAGGTTGCAGATGCGCATGACGGCGCTGGCCAGGTCGTAGGTCATGTGGAAGATCTGCGGGGGCGGCAGGGGGTGAGCCCCGGCGAGCTCAGCCCCTGCCCCTTCCCGTCCTCAGTCGTGCGACCCACCCACTCCACCACCTCTCACCCCGGGCTGGGCCAGGCCACCCACCCCCTCCCAGGCCCATCTCCACGGCCCCCACGTGGCCTCGCCCTCAGCTCTGCTTCCGACCCTTGGAGCTTTGTTCCCCTTTAGGGCTATAGTGGCCCAGCGCCCCCCTGACTCTTCGCCACGGCCCGGGCGCAGCAGGAGTCGGGTCAGACCCACTCCAGTGGCGGGATTTGGGGTGGCGGGATTTGGGATGGCGGGCCTGCATGAAGGTGAGGTAACAGGATTCTGCTTCTCTGAGCCTCAGTTTCCCCAGTTCCGACGTGGCTGCGGACCCCGTCTTCCACAGGGCAGAATGAAGAGGGGAGGAGCAGGTGCGTCCCTGCGCGGTGATCTCCATGCGCCCCCCAGGGCCGCCACTGCGGTCCCCGTGACCCCACCCCGTGCAGTGACCTAGAGCAGGCCCTGCCCCTGGGGGCCTCAGCCCTGCCTCTTGTCCACACCCGTAGGCCCCACCCTTCCAGTTGGCCCCGTCCCTAACCCAACCCACAGTCCAACCCTTATACCTTAGCTCCGCCCCTAGTCGCCCTCAGCCCCGCCCCTAGTCCCCACCCACGGGTCCCGCCCTTACACTTGGCCACACCCCACCCCTTGCGCCCTTTAGCCTCGGTCTTTGCCCATAGCCCCACCCTTACACCTTGGCTCCGCCCCTAGAGGCCCTCAACCCCGCCCCTAGCCCCCACTCACAGGCCCCACCCTTACACTTGACCCTGCCCCTAGCGCCCTTCGGCCTCGGCCCTTGCCACAGCCCCAGGCCCCAGCACCTGCTGCCCTTCAGAGCCCCGCCTCCGCGCCTGCGGCCCGCCCCTCACCTCCTCCCACTGGTGGATGTAGCGGATGAGGCGCGACAGGCGCAGCAGCCGCAGGAGGCTGAGGATCTTGGTGAAGCGCACGATGCGCAGCGCGCGCGCCGTCTTGTAGACCTCGGAGTCGATGCCCTTCTCCACGATGAGGAAGATGTAGTCCACCGGGATGGAGGACACGAAGTCCACCACGAACCACGTGCGCAGGTATTTCTTCTTGATCTTCTCGGGATCCAGGATGATCTCCGTGTTGTCCTCAATGACGATGCCCGTGCGAAAATTCAGCACCAGGTCCATGAGGAAGAAGGTGTCCGAGACCACGTTGAACACGATCCACGGGGCGGTGGTCTCGTCCTTGAAGAAGGTGATGCCCACGGGGATGATGATCAAGTTCCCCACCATGAACAGCAGCATTGTGAAGTCCCAGTAGAACCTGCAGGCAAGGGGCAGGTCACAGCTCCTACCAACGTGCCTTCCCCATGACCCTCGAGGACCTGACTGATCCGCCTCCCTGTCAAAACTAGACGTGACCCTGCTCTTCCTTGCTGGAGTGGACCCCCTCCCCCAGCAAGTCGTCCCCACCCTCCTGGAGCACCCACCCACTGGGCTGCCCAGCCCACGCCCCCCGGTCCAGAGCCTACCTCCCCTCCTTGAAGAAACCTCACAAGCCCAAGAGGTCGGTCAAAAATAGATGAAATGTTTTGCCTGATCAAAAAACACCCAGACAGTGTGCCGGGCACCAGCTGGCCTTCAAAGTATTAGGGAAAGAGAAGGGGTAGAAAGAGGAGCAGAGGGACGGGGCGCCAGGAGGCCGGGCTGGGCACGCGGCACAGTGGAGCAGATGTGAGGGGACTGGAATCCGCCGGCAGGGATTGGCCCAGGCTCCCAGGCGCCGCGGTGCCCTGACCCAGCTCAACGAGCTGAGCTCCCACGCAGGGCACCTGAGAGAAGCGCAGACACAGGTTGCATTTCCGTTTCTGAAAGCCCCTTTGGAGGCTGGACACAGGGAAGTGGCAGGGCGCTGGTCCAGGAGGGAGGAGAGAGGCATGGGGCTGGGGCCAGAGCGAAGGGGCCAGGAGCCGGGGAAACGTTATTGACAGGACTTGGGAACAGGATTAATATAATAAATCGTGTGGAAAACTGTAGACAGGCTGCTTCCACTCCTAAATATGTCCAGAAGGGACACGTGTCCCTGAGGCCAAACGTCCAGCTGGGAAGTCTGGCGGAAAAGGGCCTGGCCATTTAAGGAGTGTCTGTCACCGGGCCGGGCCTGCATGCTGAGTTGGGGTCCACCGCGGGCACCCACAGGTGTGGCTGGCCCTGAGCAACTGGGACACTGTGGTCAGATCCCCTGGGGTCCTGTGGGTCTCGGCCAAGAGCACAGGGCCCTAGCCGGGGTCTGAGCGACACACCCTGAGATTCAGGCAAAAGGAAGCTTGAATTGAATTTTGAACAAAGCGATTTGATTTTGCCCTTGATGGTGCAGGGAGACCTTTCCTCCCTAGACCACAGATCGCGTCAGCCTTTCTTAGCACTCTTGAGGTCCTCTCCCCACCCCTAGACATGGACCCAGGCCCCATCCTACCATGGTGGGCTCCCCATACCCATTTAGTGATGGTTCCATCACACACACATCAAGGAGGACCCCCAAAAGACCTTCCCGGGTTCTACTGCTCCGACCGACAGAGACGGAGGAAGAGACCGCGGTTCCGAGGGGGCCACACGGTACATAGAAGGCTGGAAGCCCTGGCACTGGCGAGGCTGAGGTAAGCTCCCAGTTTTGGGAGCCACTGTAAGTTGGCTCCATCTTTCTGGCGAGCATCTCAAGGGAAGAGCTATTAACACCGCGCCTGCCGGGTGACCCAGGAGTTCCACTTCAGGGAATTGAGCCCAAGGAAACCATCCAAAAGGAGGAGAAAAACATTAAAAAGCAATTTGTAGCAAGATGTTCACAGTAGCTTGGTCTGTAAGAGCCGAAGCCTGGAGAGGACCCAATGTCTAAGCCCCCGGGGCGTCAGCCAGACTTAGGCAACGCCTCCCTTCTGCTCACCAACCGCATGACCTTGGGCAAGTCTCTCCAACCCATTGGAACCTCAGTCTCTTCTTCGGCCCATTGAGGAGGAAGAGCCCGGAAGTGACAGCCTTTGAGGGTCCCCTTTGAACACTGTCACATCTGCGTGCTATCAGGTCTTCACTACATGGGCAGGGGGACTGTGGCCACAATGGGGACAGGGATAGGCTGCTGGGACAGCCCCCCACAAAGCCACCTGGGGTGCTGAGGACGTCAACAGAGCTAAGGAGGGCTGACGTGATCGATGGTGGGGGTCTCCATCCTGCACCTGGAAGGGCAGAGTCACGTGACTTGGCTTTAAAATTCACTGCCGGCCCTCCACACCTGGATCAGGGTGTGGACAGTGGGCCCTCGTCCGGGGCATCTTCTCATCACTGAGCCCTCAGGGCCCTGAGCACCAAACTAGACTGAGGGCATCCGCCTGCTGCCCCCCAGGTGGCCGACACCACCAGAGGCTCACTCACTGTCCCCTCTCCCGTCCAGAGAAGCTAAGGAATAGGAAACTGAGGCTCGAGGACATTCAGCAGGAGGCAGCAGAGGGGGCCTCGACCTGGGGCAAGAGCGTAGGACCTGTCACCAGCCTGCTCCCTCGCTCCAGGCCTTCCCTGTGAAGCTCTGCAGTGGCCCAGTGGCCCCCACTTTGCTAGGTGAAAGCCATCACCCCAGGGCTGGGGGCAGAAAGGCCGCGAGGGTTGAGGCCTCCACTGCCTTTGCTCATGCCCCCTAAACCCCCATGAGCTCACTACACCCCATGGCAACAGCTATCACTGGCCTGGTGGCAGGTGGGGAAACTGAGGCATGGGAGGGAAAGGGACTCACTGAAGGCCACGCAGCAGAGACTGACTGGCCCCTCAGCCCCTCAGCCTCGTGTGTCGGGGAGGGCTCTGCCCAGCTGTCCTCAGCCCCAGCCTGGGAGGCCCCAGGCCCCATGGCCCCAGGTCAGAGGCACAGGGAGGAGGGGCCCAGGCAGGACCACCCGGCCCCGCAGGATGGGGGCGTCCGGCTGAGAGGGCCAGGATTACAGCTGGGGCAAATCCGGGAGGATCAGGGGCTGCTGGACGATTAGAGCAGGGGTGGGGTGGAGGATTAGTGGGTGGCACTGCGGATTAGGGCAGGGAGACTGCAGGGGGAGGCAGCCGGGCTCCCCGTGATCCCGAGACAGGGCAGACAGCGCCGGGACTGGGCACACCCTACAAGCACTCTGAGCGCCCCGCTTGGGACTCCCCGCAGGGTGGGCCACAGGCAGATCAGTGAACAGGTGGCTCCTAGCGTGCTGTGCCCCAGACCCATGGTGGTGGGAGCCCCTTAGCCAGGTGGCTTGGGAGGCCCCGGGAGGACGCAGAAGGAGTCGCTTGGCCGAGTCCAAGCCGCGACCGGCCGCAGGCAGCCTGCAAAGACGCTGAGGCCGGAATGGGGCCGTTTGCACAGCTTCAAGGCGGGGGCTCAGGCTGGAGCCGAGGGAGACAGGGGAGACGGGAGATGGGGGGCTGAGCTCCCAAGAGCCTTGGGGGACGGGGCAAGGGGAGGTTCCCAGCAGGTTCTGAGACACCCTGCTGGCAGCCAGGGCATGCAGCGGGGGCGGCAGTGTCCAGGTGGGAGGTGGAGATGGCTGTGCTGGGCGGATGTGGGGTGAGTTTCCAGGCCGAGGCTGTGTCTGTTGAGGGGGCAGGGGTCTCGGCGCCCCTGCCCTGCCCTCCCCCCACGATGACCAGGAGCTGGCTTCCTCCCCGGCTGGGCCCTGCGGCTCATTCCTCCCTCCGAGTAATGGGTCTGTCTGCCAGTGGTCAGCTGTGTGCCCTCGGCCCCCCTCTCCGCCCCTCGATAATGAGGTCCGTGCCCGTGCCTGATGCAGGGGTTCATCACCCAGGACTTTGCGGGACGGCCCCATCCTGATCTCCCGCTGATCCGCTGGGCCATCTGGGGCTGGGTCCACCGAGGCACCTGCAGCCCTCTGCCCCCCCGCATCAGCATCCAGGGAAAGTGGCCGGTTCCCCTCCCTTCCCCACCCAGGCCTGGCCAACAAGGACAGCGGGACATGTTGGGGCCACAGAGTCGATTTACACCCATGGTGACCCCACGCGGCACTGCGGAACTGTCCCATCGGCTCTCCCAGGCTGTATCAGCTTTATGGGAGCAGGTGGCTATGTCTTTCCCCTGCACAGCTGTTGGATGGGTTTGAACTGTCAACCTTTCAGTTAGCAGCCAAGTGTTTAACTGTTGCACGACCAGGGCTCTGTGATTCAGGAATATTGACTTGGAAATCAGTTGTAGCAGGAGAGACTAAAGTCAGACCTTGGAGGCACCTACAGTCTGAAGACAGAGAGGAAAGGCAGTAAAGACGTCACTCACAACCTCCCTGCTGCCCCTACCCAGGCCCACCGCAGTCCCCACAGCGCCAGGGCTGCCCGGTGCCCTAGGTCGCCACCATCTGAGGAGGTAGTGGGAACTGGTGGGAGAAGTCGCCAGCTCCGAATGGGAGACTGAGGTCCCTTGGGGGACCCACCATCTCTCCCTGGGCCTCGGTGTCCCCACACCTGCCCACTACCACCCTCCTCTGCAGGCCCCTCCTTCCCGAGAGACAGGCGTTTCCATGTCTCAGCCCCTCTGGGCATTCAGAACTGGGGGTAGTCTGTGGCAGAACATCAATTAACTGATTTTTAAATATTTGCCGGGGGCACAGAAGACCTCACTGAGGCCTCGGGGATTCTGGGAGGCCTCGGCTGTGGCTCCGGGCACCTTCTTTCCTTCCTTCGGATTCAAGCCCAACCCTTGGGGTGTAAACAAGGAAATTCAACTCTCCCAGTCTGGGTGCCAGCTGAGGGGAACTCTCTGCACCCCAAAGATTCCCCTCCGACCTTGCAACTTGCTCCTCCACCGTACACCCCATGGAAGCTTCTGGAACATCTCAGTGCTTCTGGTGGCCAAGGACTGGGCCTGGGGTTTGAATCTCCGGCCCCCAGGAGCCAGGTTATAAAGGAAGAAGACACCAGCTCCCTCCCGTCGACTTTGCCTGACGGTGTCCACGGCTGTCCGAGCAGACTCGCCCCCACAGGGCTTTCACCTGCCGAGGTTTCGGAAGACCGCCCGCCTTGCGCATGAACTGCCTCTGGCCGAACTCGAACTCCCAGTTCTGCAGTGCGCAGCCGAGGACTTGCGCCACTGGCACTGCCCACGGACTTCTACATGAAGACACCGAGCTGAGCCTGTCCAAAGGCGCCCAGACGACGGAGCCCAGGGGCCTGCCAATCCACTGAGTCCCGCCCATGGGCCTCATGCTGCCGCTGGCGGAGGTGAACGGAAAGGAAAAAAGTCCCATTCCGGGAGTCTGAGCGGAGAGTGGACATTGACCGGCATGTGGCAGGGAGGGCAAGGGCCGCGACTGGGAGGCGACACACAGCCTGGGCTGGAGGGATGGAGGCCCCCAACTGGTGGGTTGGGTGCAGCTGTCCTCACAGGGAGGGCTGGGCAAGGGGTTGAGCTTTGGCGCTGGGGGAGACGCTGGCAGAGCGCTGTGAGAGGCAGACTCCTCCCCTCTGCCGCCACCAGCTCACATATGGGGAAACCAAGGCAGACAGGCCCAGCCTGTCACGGGCGCCGAGGCGAGCAAGAGCCAGGCCTGGCTTCCTGAACCCGCTGCAGGCACGCAGGAGCCACCCCGAAACACCCGCCTCTACCAGGTGGCGCCTAAACCTGGGTTCCTGGCCCGCCCCCGCTCAGGCCCCTCCACAGCCTGTGTCCCCGGCTCCAGGTCACCAGACAGTAACTGGCCCTTCGGGGTGCCACATGGGCAGGCCCACTGGCAGGAAACAAAGTCGTGGCTGAAGGAGGTGGAGGCATCCAGGCTTCTGACAGACCGGCGGTGGGGCCAGACCCTGCCTCAAGCCTCCCCCAAATCATCTCCTCCAAGCAGATTCAAAAGGCCCTGACAAAAGGCTCCTTGCCTCCTTCCTGAACAGTTCACACACACACACACACACACACACACACACACACACACGGTCCCTGGTTGGCACAAACGTTTCAAAGCCCAGTTGCTCACCGAAAGGTCAGCAGTTTGAACCCACCGACAGGCGACTTGGCAAAAAAGCCAGAGGTCTACCTCGTCAAGATGAGCTGCTGAAGACGCGGGGAGCACAGCTCTGCTCTGACACGCGGGGCAGCCCGCAGGGGCGTCCAGGCAGCAGCTGGAACACACATGCACTCACATCACAGATACACACGCGTACTCACATGTACACACAGACCGTACACACAGGCACACATACGCATGTGTGTCTGTATATACAAAGGTCCCATTCCTAGGTGCACACCCCGAACACTTGACAACAGGGACTCCACCGAGCCCATGTGCATGGGCGTTCAAGGCAGCACTACGCATTCATAGGACCCCAAAGTGAAAACCCCGGGTGCTCACCCACAGACGACGGAGACACAGTGGGGTCCGTGCACACGACGGACTGGTATTCCCCCCCCAAAGAGGAAGGCGGCACCGACACCCACAACACGGATGAACCTCCCAACTTTCTCGGGACCAGAAGCCAGGTGCCAAAGGACAGGCTTTGGGGGATTCCGACGGTGGGAAAGGTCTAGAACATGCAAACCCACACACAAGAAGTGGAACAGTGGCTGTCGGCTGAGGAGGCGAAGGGCAGTGACTGCTGGTGGGGCCGGGTGCCTGTCTGAGGTGACAGAAGCGTTCCGGAAACCCATGCTGGTGGCCGCACAGCGCGGAGCATCAGTGACGCTGCTGATTGTGCACTTAAAGGCGGCTAAACCGACCAAGACCAATTTGACGCCATGTAGCTCTGATCGCAGACACAGGTCCCCTGGCCGGCCACATCCTGGACAGCCCCTGGCCGGGGCGTGCACAGAGCCAGGCTGCAAGCTGGCAAGGGCCTGCTCGCCAGTAACCACCGTGTGGGTTTGAGCAGGGCCTCCACTTCCCTGCTCCTGTATCCTCAGGTATGAAGTGAGGGCAGCGCCCACCTCAGGTCGCTGTGAGCCACAAGGTTCGGAAGGTACTCCGGACAGCACCTGGCCCGAAGCTGCTCAGAAGGACACCGCCGAGTCAGAAGGGCCTCGAGGGGCCAGCTCCCCAGACAGGAGGGTTTGTAGAAACCCAGCGGCACTGTGGGTAGCTTCTTACCCCCTTTGGGCCCTGACCATGCCACGCCCCTCAGCCTCAGCCTCGCTGCCCTCCTTACGCTCATAGCGACCTGAGCCCCTCTGTATTCTGCGGTGCAGAGTGGGGCCACAGCCTGCCCGAGTGGGTCACAGCCTTCTCACCACCCCCAGCTGCACACTGTCCCTTCTACAGCCAAGAAGCCACCCCAAGGCACAGGAGGGGCCAGTGGTCAGAGGCCTTGTCTGGCAGCCCTCAAAGCCAGCATGTGCCCACCACTGCTTGGCGGGTGGCATGCATCTCTCTACCCGCAATGGCTCTGATTTTCCTCTCCACCTATTTGGAGTGGACAGGATGGACTGGGGAGCCCTGGAAACCAAGTCTATCCTTTCTTGGCGGCCCCATTTCATGGATGGGACGCTTAGCCCAGGCCTCCCAGCATGGACGATTTGTACAGGAATGCTGAGCCCCCACAGCACTTCTCAGACACACCCTAACCCCCTGGACACCCCCGGGTCCCACCTGACTCTCTCGAAACCCACCCACTGGTCGGGGCTGTGTTCACTCCCCAGGGAGGGTCTCAGCTGCGGGAGTCAACTTTCTTCCAGGCTCTGTCTGTGACTTGCGCGCTCCTGAACTCAGTTTCCCCAGTTGCCAAGCACTGGGGGTACAGCAGAGGCCAGGGGAAGGGAGAGTCCCCCAGCCCCGCCAGAACAAGGCGGTGAGCTCAGGCCCCGAGTCGGAGACAACAAGGCTGGACAAGCGCCCTCAGGATATGGGGACCGACGGCGTCTGGACGCTGTCCCTGGTGCTGAAGCTGCTAGCCCTCTCAGGCTCACCAGGAGTAGCTCGGGCTTCCCATCTCCACCGCTACACCCCGAACTCACAGACCCACGCACGACACACTACCATACAGATGTGTCCCCTGGCACGTCTGTCACCCACACTTCCACGGCCACACGAGTAGCACCTGCTTACCCACTCGCTGTCCACCAGCTCCATGCACACACACACATACCTCCCCAATACACACACACACACACACACCACTCCAACGTACGCCAGTGACCCACCGTGCAGACACACCCCTGGGGACACACCCCCCCAGCACTCGGCCTGTGTCCCCAGACCACTGCCCACCCTGCGGCCACGCGCGGCCTGCAGTCCCCCGCCTCGTTCTCCCTCGCCGGCCACACGACACCCACCAGAGCAATAGCCGCAAATGTCCGCGAATGCGACCCTACCAGGCCTAAGCCTACCCACGCCGACCGGCTTCAGTCCGCCCTAGCAACTACCCACCTATTGCACACTGACCCAGCACCGCCCGGCGGCTCAGCGGATGCGACCTCGGAGCATAAACACACGGCCTAGGGACCCCCGCGCGCGGCGCCCCCTCCTCGCGCTGCCCGGAGCAGAACCAGACGCGCCTCCCGGGGGCGCGGGGCGCGAGTGTAGAGATCGGAGCGCGCTGGGCCGCTTAACCCCGTCGCTGCCAGCCCCTCTCGCGCGCGTCCTTCTCGGGCGCCCTTCCTTCCTTCCTTCCTCCTTCCTTCCGCTCCGCCGCCTCCCCGCGCCCACGTTCCCCTCTATTCGTCCTCAGACCCCTGCAGCCCTCGCCGCGCACCCACCCCTCCCGCCGCGCCGCAGGGGCTATCAGGGTGCGTGGGCAGGAGCGCGCTGGGGTCACTGCTCGGCTCCCTCCAGGGCGGAGCCTCGCGCGCCCAGGTCACTCTGGGGCGGGTCCGGGCGCGCCCGAGGTCAACAAGGGGCCCGAGGTCACCCGCCGGGCGTGCCGCCCCGCCTCCCCGGCGCGCCAAGGACGGCCCCTCCGAGCCCAGCGGCGCTACCTGAAGTCACTGTAGGGGTGGATGATCCAGGCCCCCGCCGACTTGACGCGCTCCTGCTCGCGCTCCACGGCCTTCTGGCTGCCGAACATCCGCAGCGAGAACTTGTTGACGCCGGGCTGCAGGAGCGCGCCGAACTGCCGCTGCATGAAGCTGGCCTGGCTGCCGCGCGGCTCCCCCGCCGGGCCCGCCTCCTCGCTGCCCGCCTCGTCCGCCGGACCCGGGCTCGGGCCCGCG